GAACTTCTGGTTCGTACAAGTATTTGCAAACAAGCGTGCAAAATAAACTTCGCTAGCAACGGTAAATTCTGGACTCGGTAAGATTGTGGTTTGCACCAAGATTTGTAACTTGGCTTTGAGCAAAGAATTATGTGAAATAATTCCCAGGATGCTTTGGACTGTGGCTGTATTTTAACAAAAACTTTCCTGGACAAAAATTTTACAAAACACCTAACAAATTGCAGACGCTCGCGCGGATCAAGGCTCTTTGGAAGAATGACAGTTAGAAAATTGTGCAGCACTGGCATTGCGTTGCCATACCACAAGATATTTCGGCATTTTCGTCAATTTCTCTTTTTTGTTGCCCTTCGCGTTCACACAGAGCAATTCTTTTGTACCAATTGTTGTTGTCAGCTGTGAACAGCCAACTAGAATTACTCAGACGAACGAGAGCACAAAGCGTGTTGCCCGACCACGAGCAACTCGGTGCCCTTCCCCCTCCCTCGTCACTCCCTCTCCCACAAGTAACAAGTTGCCGTGACAAAAGTTTCTCTGTCTGAACCTAGACTTTCTGAAACATGAAAACTATCGCTGGTGGCACTATAGATAGTTTTACAACTCTATTAGGTCTGTGTTATGCAGAAATTTTGTTTGGCAAACTGCGTGCAATTGTTGTTGCAGCAAACTCGGAGAGAGCGAGTTTGGCGACTCTCACAACAAACTAATTTTGTTTGGTCAAACTGCAGCAAATTCGGTGTAGTCATATACACAAATTTTAGACAATTGTTGCTATAAAGCCTGGGAACTGAATTTATGCTGTAGGAGCTTCAAAGATTAGGTCACAGTTAATTGCCTATACGATATCATAAAAAATATATTAATTGTGCGCGTTATGCACATCTGAAATTCTCATTTCGTGTTGACAATAGCCATGAAAACCATAATGAACGTGCAACACTGTGCCAAACTCGACATAACCACCTCCGAGCAAACTAAGCAGCCGCCATTTAATTTGGCAAACAAAAGTTTGTCTGCATAACACCGACCTTACAAAACACAACCAATTGCAGACGTTCGCGCCTACCATGGCTAGAGATGTTGAAAAGCGACGATGCGTCAAAAAATTTCAATTCAATGTATAGTCTACTTATCGAAAACTAACATCTGTAGTACATTAAAACGTCATTTCAGTTTTTCAATTGTGCAAAAAAGAGAATTCACCTTCACCAAAAAATACTAGCTCACTTGCAGTAATTTATTTCGAATTTTGTACAATTTTGTTAATAACATATTATGTTGTGAATCATTATCTGAAAAATCCTATGGAAAGAAAATCGATCCATCGATGTTTGCCCTTCGATGTATCGAAAGATATCGATGTACATTTCGATGCATCGAATCAAAGAAATACATCGATGTATTTTT